CGTATAACTGAGTGTGGGGAAACGTAGGTTTCCAAGAAAAACATTTATAATATATAGCTTGGACTAAAAAAAAAAAAGCCAAAAATAAAAAAATATATCATCATCATTTTCATTGCTACACTTATAATTTTACTTGTTACTCATTCTAAGTCTACATATTTGTCAAAATCACTACAATAATTTTTTCTGAACAGGTAGTTCTGAGATGTTAAATATTTAGCTTATCACTTATAATTTATCTGGTCAGAATAAAAAAATACAAATATTAATTGAACACTGATCATTTTTCCTTCCTCTCTTCTGGTTATTCCTTTTCTCCTTTCCTTCTCCTTCTTTATTCCTTTTTTGCTCCCTTCCTTCCTTTTCTTCCTCTCTTCTTCCTTTTTTCATTACTAAACATATATACGTATGTTCTTTTATGTTGTTTTCATCATTACTGAAAACACACACACACACGGCATATGGAATACATGACATTTCCCCATCCTGGTCTCCCTAAAATACCTTCATCAATATCAGGTCTTCTATTTTACAGACAAAATGGTACCCAGATCCTGTTATTTTGATTAGCATCACATCCAATTTTATAAAAAACCTTTTCTTTGCTTAACATTTCCTTTCCAGAAGAAATACAATTTGAGGTTTGAAGTCAAGGGAAAAAGCAATTAGATGAGAGAAAACTGTGTCACTGCTAGTGATGGGCAAAAGTGTGGGTGAGAGGAATGAGATGGTTTTCTTAGATGAATTCAAGATATATTCATATTCATCTTTGACGAATTTAAGAGTTGATCTTGGCAACACAGGATGGTGACTATATGGATACTTGCCTTTTAAAAACCACATGAAAATTTTGAGAGAAAGTTGGAGAGGGAATGGTGGCTCATGCCTGTAATCCCAGCACTTTAGGAGGCTAAGGTGGGAGGATCACTTGAGCTCAGGACTTCGAGACCAGCCCAAGCAATGTAGAGTGAGACTTAACCTCTACCAAAAATAACAGAAAATTAGCTGGGTGTGGTTGTGTGCGTCTGTAGTCCCAGCTACTTGGGAGGCTGGGAGGATCACTTTATCCCAGGAGATTGAGACTGCAATGAGCCATGATCACACCACTACTCTCTATTGTACTCCAGTCTAGATGACAAAGCAAAAAAAAGAAAAAGAAAAAAAAAAGGAAAAAAGAATGAAAATGGGGCTCTTGAGTACTTCGCTTTTAGAACTGTAAACTTCTCTACACATAGATGGTACCCCTATTTCCTGGAATTGGTTCTGAGATTAGTAATGGATTCACCTTCAATTAGGTAGGGAGGGAAATAGAAACTAACACTGGCTGAGGGCTTCCTATTAGCTGGAACTTTGATAGGCATTTTACGCATACTATAATTTAATTTTCTCAATAGCCTTGTAGGAGAGTATTGTTACCACTATTTTTGGGAATAAAGGATGGCACAGGGAGATTAAATATCCTGCCAAGAATTGTAAATGTTTATGTTGAGAGAGAAAATCAAATCTAATTCCAGTATCTTGCTTTAGCTATATAACTTGTTGCTTTAATGAGTGGTTCACTTACTTGCATATCTACTCTGTGCTAGGCACTTCATATAATAAAAAAGGAAACATAATTTAAGTAGAAAACATTATTAGACATTAAAATTTTAAATATAAAATGATGGCCTGAGTAAATAGCATTCTTTAATTGTACCCATATTATCTTATATGCATGACTGCATGAAAGAAATATGCATAAAATTCATTATTATGGTGAAGCACTATTCACAATAACAAAGACATGGAAACAACCTAGATGTCCATCAACAGTGGATGGATAAAGCAAATGTGGTACATATACACCATGGAACACTATGTAGTCATAAAAAAGAACATGGTCATGTCCTCTGCAGCAACATGGATGCAGCTAGAGGTCATGCTTTTAGGCAAATTAACACAGGAACAGAAAAACTAATATTGCATGTTCTCACTTATAAGTGAGAGTTAAACCCTGGATACACATAAAGTTGAAAACTATAGACACTGGGGACTCCAAAAAAATGGAAAGGGAGAAGGGCTGAGAATCTCCTCCTTGGGTACCATGTTCACTGTCTAGGTGTTGAGGGATCAGAAGAAACCAAACAGCAGCATCATGCAATATACCTTTGTAACAAACCTGCACATGTACCCCCAAATCTAGAATAAAAATGAGAAATTTAAACTTGTTATTACAGTATATTTTGTTGTGTGCTAATAACTTCCTATTGATGTATGATTTTTTCCTACTTCTTTTGTTATTTAGTATGTAGACATATTTTATTACTCATATTTACATGCAAAATATTTTGATGTAAACTTGACTTTAGCATTTTAATCTGAGCCAAGATAACATTGTCCTTAGAGAAATGGCTATAATTTAATTTGTAATTATAAATTAATTTATTAATGATTGACTCTTGGCTATCCATATATCTATTGCAAGGGATTCTCAGAATTGTATAATGTTGCTATTATATACAAGCCATCAAACTTTTAGAACTAAGAAGAGTTTAGTAGAGGTTAAAACTATAAAAACAATCATGTTTAAAAACTTGATCATTTAATAATCATTTTATGTAATATTTTGAGTCTATCTCATATTACAGTCTAAAATCATAAAGAACATCTTTGTGTATTCGTTCCAGGCTTTCTGGATACTTCCACCCAACAGCATAACTTTTCTAAGTTATATATCCTAAATTATATTTTGTGCAACAGGGGATGGTGGGTGGGGCATTCAGGCTGCAGACATTTTCAACAGAAAATCCATCATTTGCAACATCAGCTGTCAGCACAGGTGTCCTGCATCCAGTGGTCCACCCAGTTCTGTGAACGAAAAAGCTGACCTAGGACTATGAAGCAGTTGTCAGATACCATTGGGCAGGAAATGGAGAAGGCTGAACTTTGAAATAATCCTAATAATTTATAAATCCTTCTAAAATTAGATGATGGTTTGGATATATATAATTGTAATGGATGTATATTCCCTTATTACTTATGTTTGGTATATTTTAGATGAAAATTTTAAGAGAGAGAGAGAGAGAGAGAGAGTGAGAGAGACAGACAGACACTACTAACACTTAGCACTTTTATCCCCTTAGGCTAAGTGTAGTCATAAAATAACTTTCAACAGTGACTCTGCCTTAGGTAAATAGATTTAACTATATAGACCAGTTAAAAGTATGTTATAGTTTAACAATGTATTTCCACTTCACCAGAAGTGGAAGGCCAAAGACAATATTAACAGTAATTTTTTAATTACTTTTATTATAGCACCATTACTATGAATATAAAGAATTTGATGTCTTATGAGTGAATTAATGAACTAAATTATCAAGATTACTACTTCAATGTCAAGACTTAAAAAGTCTTTGTGGCTCCATCTTTCCTGAGCTTTGTCGTGAGATGTTTATGGATTTTGCCAAAACTCCAACTACATCTGTTTGTTTAGTCATAGGAAGTATTACTTCCTCTCCAATTTTTTTTTGTCTAATTTCTCTAGAATTAATTACTCAGTCCTCTCCGAACTCCTATACTGCTTGGGCAGGATCTGTATTCTGGCCTATGCACTGAGGATAATTACCATTTATATGACTCTCCTTCCTAGTCTGTGATTTCCTTGATCTTATAGACTGTTTCTTATTTCTTACTGGTCACTGGCATTCAGGTTATTGCTTGACATTAATAATTTCATGGAGCTCAATTTAGTTTCACATATAGTAGTCATTCTCAAAGTGGATCCTGGTTTCATCTGCATCAGAATCACCTAGGTGTTTGCTAAAAGCAGTTGTCTGGGCTCAACAGCACATCTACTTAAACAAAATCCCCGGGGTTGGGCAGAGGACTAACAAGGACTCTAAGTCATTGTTATTATGCACAGTGACTTTTTTTGGTAATAGTTTTATTGAGAAATAATTCACGTTCCATAGAATCCTCCCATTTTGTGTGCCATCACAACTTCTTTTTAAACTTTCAGAGTTGTGCAACAATCACTGTAAATCAATTTTATAACATTTCAATTAACCCCAAAATAAATAACAGGTCCTTCAACAGTCATTCCCCATATCCTCTAACGCTAAGCAACCACTAAGATATTTTCTGTCTCTATAGACTTGCCTATCTGGACATTTCATATAAATGGACTATAAAATATGAGGTCTTTTGTGTCTGGCTTCTTTCACTTAGCATGTTTTCAAAGTGCATTCAAGGTTCATCAGTACCTCGTTCCTTCTTATTGAGTCTATCGTGTAACTATACCATATTTTATCTATCCATTTCTCAGCTGATGGTTGCCACTCTTTGACTATTATGAATAATGCTGTTATAAATATTTTTGTAACATTTTTGTGTGAACATGTTTCATTTCTTTTGGGTAATATTTTCCTAGAATTAGAGAGTCCAGGTCCACATAGCAACTCAGTTTTGAGTCAATGTTTGTACATGGAGTGAGGCTGAGTCTCCAACTTCATTTTTTTGCATGTGGATATCCAGTTGTTTCTGTTCCATTTGTTGAAAAGACTCCCTTTTCCCAATGAATTGTTTGACCCCTTGACTAAAATCAGGTAGCCGTAACATGTGGCACAACAAAATTTTAAAATATGTGTCTATTGGAATTGTGACCTGGACATTATAATAAGAGTAAAAAAGTAAAATCATTAAGCTCAGAAACATTAATGATTATTCATCTTGACATGTGTTTGTAATTCCAAATTTGGTGTGAATGTGGGTGTTGTAAGAATTGGAAATGCTGAGGTAAGGGTGAATAGGAAGACTTGTGCTTTACAATGCAAATTATTATTAGTATTTATACTTTAACTTCTTGGATACATGTGCAGAATGTGCAGGTTTGTTACATAGGTATACATGTGCCATGGTGGTTTGCTGCTCCCATCAATCCACCATCTACATTAGATATTTCTCTTAATGCTATCCCTCCTCTTTCCCCCATTCAACGCAAATTATTAAATCAAGAAGCTTACTTGGCAAAATGGTCTTATAGCGATTTTTAGTTCCATGACGTGGAATATCAATTTCTTTGGGATCCACAAAGTTCATTGGTATTTCCTGCAAAAATAAATGGTATCAAATTAGTGTATCTGATACTGCCACAAAGAAAATCTTCACAGGGGGCCATCTGATCCAGAGTTCTAATGGACTTCAAAGCCACTTAAAAACAACAGACCTACCACCTCTGGTGGACCAACACCCTTCCTTTCCTAAACATATCAGCTGCATCCGGACAGGCTGACTTCTAAGAAACAGTTCTGTGTGTTAGAAAACATTGCTTAATATGCAGCCAGTAAGGAGACATAAAACACTGGTTAGATTTTAAGAATCCTGTTGTGACATAGTTGCTAGAATGATTAGACAGATGCTACAAAGTGAAATTTTGAAAAAACAATGTATTCAAATATATTCTATTCTTTATGTAAGTTCAATACCAAAATTTTACTATAATAGACTATCTTTTCACACTAATAGTGACTCTTTTAGGATTATTAATACCTCTTTGCCCAAATGGTAAACATAAAGGGCTTTTTTGTTAACTCAGGTGATGATGACATAATTTTTTTTAATTGAACTGTTCTATTTATAGTTGTAAATGGAATGTTTTTAGTGAAGGGCATTTAAACACTGTCTCTCCCACTTAAGATTAATATTCTTATTCTGTCAGAGTATACACTATGTGCCTCAAGTGGCTGGACAGGGAACAATAGGAATAGAGTGGCTGTATGTAAGCACATTAAATCTAAAAAGGTGAGCATCAGCACCTAACCAGGACAAAGAAAGCAACAAGCCGAAGTTTATAAAAGGGTCCAAACAAATATTTGTTTAAGGATTTGATTATACAAAACAGTATTTTCTCTAAGTTTGATAAGATTAATGTGAAACAAAACTTTTATCTTATTTATTTATTTATTTATTTTTTGAGATGGAGTTTCACTCTTGTTACCCAGGCTGGAGTGCAATGGCGTGATCTTGGCTCACCGCAACCTCCGCCTCCTGGGTTCAAGCAATTCTCATGCCTCAGCCTCCCGAGCAGCTGGGACTACAGGCGTACACCACCATGCCCAGCTAATTTTTTGTATTTTTAGTTGAGACAGGGTGACACCATGTTGACCAGGATGGTCTCGATCTCTTGACCTCGCGATCCACCTGCCTCAGCCTCCCAAAGTGCTGGGATTACAGGCTTGAGCCACCGCACCCGGCCTATCTTATTTAATGACTGATAAATATTAAATCTTTGATCACATAAAATAATATTTTTACTACTTAAACTTTCTCCAGTGGAAAATTTAACAGTCTAATACTGAAATAGAAGAAATTGTCTTTAAATTAATTCAAATTATTCTAGTTTTCAGCCAATCTGAAAATTTGAGAAAAGCTGTACTACACCATGAATTTGAGACTTTGTCTACAGAGAGAAACAGCTTTTTGCTTATTAACTTATTTTTAGGGATGGGATCTCACTCTGTCACCCAGGGCAGTGTGCAGTGGCACAATCATAGCTTACTATAACCTCCAACTCCTGGGCTCAAGTGATCCTCCCATCTCAGCTTTCTGAGTAGCTGGGATTACAGGCACGAGCCACCACACCTGGCCCCAGCTTACTTTTAAAATATTTTTCCATGCTTGAATTATGTTAGCTATCCATGATATTTGTCCCTATTCTCTGCTCCAACTAAATGTTTTAACTTCTTAGTTTCAAGTTATAAACTAAGCAAAACTGTTGACTATTCAGTGGAAAACACATGTTCATGTTTGGTCATTTGAAGCATGTCAGTGTCTTTGGGCAAAGCCACAAGGTAATATCTGTATTTCTCCCCTTCTTCCTTCTCATCTCCTGTTTCTGACACACACTGACAATGTGTCACCTTCCAGCATTCTCTTTCTCCTGGGTACTCCTTCTTGGCCTTCAATTTCCTTTCAGGGAAGTGGGTTATGATAAGGGCTTATTTCATAAGCAAAGAGCTGTCTGCAGTTCTAGAAAAAAAAGCACTAGGTGTGCCTTTGGCTAGCTGTGTGGCCACTGACTTGTTCTTTCATTCTTACAGGTCTCATTTTCCTCACATGTAAAATATGATACACCACAAAGTCCGAGTTTTAAAACTCCATGTTTGTATTTTACTTTGGACACTTGACAACAGTTCATGGGGCTAATAGTAGATCCAACCCATTGTTGAATCTTTCACCATTAGGATGAACTGACCCTAGAAAAATCAATTTATTGTACTCAACCAATATGGCTTAAGATGTGCAACTGATTTAAGATGCAAGGTGATTTATAAAGTGAATTATTTCCCTTGGGCAGCAATTCAACCTAAGAAGGTTTAATCTGACTTCATGTTCTCTGAGTAGATATGTGTTACCATGCTTTAAGCTTCACCAGCAACACTGGTATGTCTGAAACGGAATTCACTATTCTTTTCAGCCCACACTTGGTCTTCCGCCTGTGTTCCTTATTTTGTTAAAGGGCACCATATGCACTCTGTCGGCCAAGCCAAAAACAGTCCCTGACTTTTCCATTACTTTTGGCTGCCTCATTCAATTAATCCCACTTCTTGTAGATTCCTACAGATTCTCTCCATTTTCTCTTCTACTGTATTAGTTTAGGCCACCACCGCAGTTCCACAGGATTAATGCTAGAGCCTCTCAACTGCTCCCTTTCAGTGCCTACTTCACTGCAAATAGAATGATCTTTCTAAAACACAGATAAAGTTCAAGTTCCTAAGTATGTATTAAGGCTTGGGTTTCTTTTCTACTTCTGAGGCTCAACTTTTGCCACTTCCCACCTTGATTTCAATGTGGGGGTTAAACCGAAAAGTTAAATTCCCCAGACAGTGACAGCAAGACTATTTTTTGTCCTGGAATGCCCGTTCTCTGCCCAGCTCCCTTATACCACTTATTTGCCTGGCTAATTCCTGCAGATTCTGCCTTAATTTAGCTCTAACATTCCAGTTTGAATACTTGTCAATAGTGGATGAGACTGAGAGTGAATCTAAAACCATTTCACTTTGCCATTTGTTTATTGCAGGCTGCTTAAGGATAGAACAGTGTCATTTCCATATGTCTCTAGCACCCTGTGTATTAAAATACCTACTGAAGAGTGAATAGTAAGTAGAATGCTCACCATGAATTCACTTTGAAGTAAATGTGAACTTGCCATGACGTCCCTCAGCTGTGACCTTGTGAGAATTCGGCTGGCTGACTGCAGGTACTCCATTGCTACCTTCTCCCGTGGGGTTGGTATAGCCACAAAGGGTTCGATGTTCCCCAAGCTACTCATGTCCAATGTAAGAGATACGTTGGACCCTCGTCTACATTGGAGAAGAATGTTATGTTTAAACACCACATAATTCCTTTTATTGCTTTTCTTTCTGTACCTGCACACAATTCATGAGAACTTTTACAGAAATAACCACCAACTGTATTTTCTCTTCTTGCACCATGGTTAGGCATAGCAACTACTCATAGTTCCTTTATAGGAAAATAACAATTTTGTTGCTGGAAAGAACTCTAAATTGAGAAAAAAATGCTGTAATTTATTAGTACATATACTTATTACAGAAATCATAGGTTGGCTAATAATATTAAGTGAAAAATTTAGGAAAAGTAAAAAAAAAATTAGGAAAAGCTATATATTCTGAGTGAATTCCTAGACGTTGGCTTCTGGGGCCAGGTGTGATGGTTCATGCCTGTAATCCCAGCACTTTGGGAGGCAAAGGCGGGTGGATTGCCAGAGCTCAGGAGTTCAAGACCAGCCTGGGCAACATGGCGAAACTCCCTAGAGACAAAACATACAAAAGTAGCTGGATGTGGTGACCCACACTTGTAGTCTCAGCCACTAGGGAGGCTGAGGTGAGAGAATCACTTGAGCCTGGGAGGCTGAGGCTGCTGTGAGCCGTGATGGTACCACTACATTCCAGCCTGGGCAGCAGAGGGAGACTATGTCTCTTAAATAAATAAATGAAATAATAGATAAAAATACAAAAAGAAGATGGCTTCCGTATCCTCTATTTGTGTGTGTATATATTCACGCATATATGAATTGACATGGAAATTCATTTAATTTTGTGGTAAATGTATAAAAGACCATAGAAATCACAGTCCCTTAAAATCAGTTACAATTTACCTTCCTCTCGTAATTCCCCTTCTCCAGTTGGGGGGCAAGGTGATGCTCTTACAACTTATACAGACCCTGAATCCCGAGTAGAAAGTAGGAATGCCTTTTATAAGTAATATTAGTTGTGTGGAACCCAGGGGTAACTATAAAACAGCTGTGAGAGACTGAGGATTGAAGTCAGAGACAGTGTTCACAAGAACTGTTACATTTTGTGTGTCAGATCAAATATGGTGTCAAGAATGTGGAGACCAGGGAACAACAGGCCAAAATAAATGAGAATAAAGATGGTAACAGTAGACACTATGCCCAGCAAATTATTCCCTCTGGTATTTTAATACTTACTCTGGAATGCAACATTAAGAAATATTATAGTGGCCTGAGCTTAATTTCAAACAGTGGAAAATTATTAGAATATACAACAACAACAACAACAAAGTCCATTAAGGAAAATTGATCAGGTTTTGTCCTCCAATGAATGTGCCTCAGATTGCATTCTATAATTTGATATGTAATGTCACTTTTGTTAATTTCTAAATGGTTTGTAATTGGGAATTTAATTTCTACTTTAATTTGATGGACATCTGTGTGTTTGGACATTTATTTTCCTTATAATTTCCAGTTATGGCTCATGGAAATTAGAGAATGGCTGGCCTTTTAATGGTTGAACTTGTTGATTTTTTTTTTTTTTTGCGATAAACACTGTAACAACATTTTCTAAATATTTCACAGATATTTTGCTGGCAACTAGTTTGAATATGTGTATATGTTTGTAAGTGTCTATCTGCACATATATATATATAAAACCTTATTTACTGTACTATTATATTTTATTGATGATATTACTGTATTCCAATCTATTATTTGTTTCCTTTTTCTCTACTAGATTTGTCAAAACCTAAGATATGTATGTGAGTCTTCCACAATAACCATATTTGTTATTTTTCATTCTGTTTTTACCTTGTACATTGTAGCCACTGTGTTATTTGAAGGGATTTGTAGTGATACCCTCACTGTAAATTTGATCAATATTACTTTCTTTCCTGTTAATTTGATATTTGCCCTAACATCTGGCTTTAAAAAATGAATATTGATATGCCTACATATTTTAGGGGGGCATGTTCCTGAAAACCTTTTCTCATCCTATTATTTTTAACTCTTTTGGATCACTGGGTTAGGGATTAGGGAACAGCATTTACTCTAGATGCTCATAAAATATTGCCTGCCTAATAGAAGGATATTTTTTCCCACTCCACTTTTTCTTTTTTGGTTTTTGGTGGTGGTGAGCAGGGCTCCTGTGCTTCTGAGTAGGAGGCAAATAGTTGAAGAAGAGCAAAGAATGGTTCTACTCAAGGACCAAGAATTTTAATCTATTTTTAGTGGGAAAGTTGTTTTTAAAGTTTTTTAATTCACTTCTAGACTTCAAGTTGATAGACAATTCTTCCTGATTCTGATAATAGTGTGCCTATTGGTCTTAATATTTAGGGTATTTGTAAGAATTCAGCTTTTGCAGGCTTTATAGATATTTTAGTATGAAGGTGGAGAGGCTGCTTAAGGGATTGCTAATCGTATGCTGTTTAAAAATCACTATGCCATTTGGTCAATTTTCAGCCTCAAGGGACAAAAGTGTCTACACTCTGTCAATGGAGTGATGCCCGTGCTATAGATGGTGAGGTCTCTTCCATCTAGAGTGGTCAGAGCAGACTCATAGGGTATAAGTCATTTAAGTTGAGCTTTGAAAGCAAGTTTCAATAGGTAAGTTTTTGGTAGAGAGTTAAAGAACCTGGTAGGAAAAAAAGAGTAGGAGAATAAATTGATACAACTTTGAGAAACAGCATAGAAGCAGTCTGAGCTAGAGTTCTCGTGTATAAAAATGTATTTTGGAATTGGGGGGCAGGATTATGTAACAGAGATAAGAGAGAAGCTACAGTCATAGACAGTATAAGACTACAAAAAGCCTGAAAAAGCCCAGGTATGGTGGCTCACACCTGTGATCCCAGTACTTTGGGAGACTGAGGCAGGAGGATCACTTGAGGCCTGGAGTTTGAGACTGGCTGGGGCAACATAGCAAGACCCTGTCTCTACAAAAAATAAAATGTAGGTGTTGTGGTGCATGCTTGTAGTCCCAGCTATTTGGGAAGATGAAGTGGGAAGGTTGCTTGAGCCCAGGAGTTCAAGACTACAGTGAGGTAAGATTGCACCACTGTTGTACTGCAGCTTGGGTGATAGAATGAGACCCCATGTTGAAAAAAAAAAAAGAGCCAGAAAAAAGAGGATCCAGAACATCATCAGGATATATAGACTTCTGTTTTGACTTCCCACAGCATACACTGCCTCAACCTGGGAGATTAGAAGCCTTTGAGATCCAGGTATAAGGTCTATTTGATTTAATGAGTTAATTTTCTAAGGATTCTGTGGTAAGCAGAGAGTCATGGAAGCATTTTCATGCCGATTGACTTGGTAAGGAAGGATGACTTTTGTCTTGCATGGGAAGAAAGAAAGAAAACTAATATTTATTAGATATCTATTATTTGTCAAACACTGCTCTAAGCACTTTCACATGATGTTTTGCTATTTATAGCAGCATTCTGAGGTATTATTTTGCCCCACTTTACAGGTGAAGAAATAAGAAATTTAAGAAAACAACAGTGAAGTGAAGATTTGATTCAGGTTAGAATACAAAGCACAAGCTCTTTCTACTTTCCTACCCAAGTGCAAGGGTATGGTGGGCAGATTATGTGAGACTCTATGGGATTGGGAGTCAGCTGTGGAGAGAAGGTTAAGATTACTGAAGTGTAATGTGGGGGCAGATCAAAGTTTCAGGGTACAAATTTGATCTTTACAGTCATATATGTCTGAGCTCAAAATTTGCCTTTCCATGTCCTTGTGGTGGACCTTTGGTCAGACTGTTTAGCCTCATTGCATCTCAATTTTCTCCTCCTTTGTAAGATGAATGATTAAATATACCTATTTCTAAGAGTTATGACAAGGGTTGATCAGATAATGCAAGTAAACTGTTAATAAAAAGTGATATTTGGCTATTATCAAATCTGAGGGTAATAATTAACCAAGTCCTACTTGACTACTACCTTTTGATTCTCTAAGGAATCTATTTTAGGAGGTCATAACCAAAGTGCAAAAATGATTTTTACTGAAATTAATGTTTTGAAATCAATGGATAAAATCTACACATTTGATGTCTACACTAAGGCAATTTCTACAGTAAAGGAAAAATACACCCTTCTTGGTAACCTATTCATCTTCGAGTTTCCTTTTATTATAGCAAATCCATTTCCCCTGAATTCTAAACAATTTCAGAGCACTTCACTTCAGCACTTCAGACAATGTCTCCAAGTTCAGTTATGGAGTTAAACTTGCACAGGCTGTTACTTTTACCGAGAGCATTTTCCACAAAACAGCCCTTATCATGGCAAGACTCTTCTATTGAAGCTGTGAAATACTGTAGTAGGATGTCATTAACTTGGAAAAATTTCTGCTTTTGTAAATTCTTATTTTCAAGGAACAAACAATTTTTAGGCTAATTGAAATATAGTGGAAATAGGAAGTAAAATCAGTAGAATCAACTTAAAATGTTAAAATATTTGGAGATTTTTTAGTCATGTCTTGTATACATTACAGTGTTATTTTTTCATTATAAAAGTAATGCATGATCATTGTAGAAAATCTGTAAAATTTTGAAGTTTTAAAAAAGAAATTTAAATTCACTTAGACTAGCATTTAAACCGACTCAATTTTTGCTATTTTATAGACAGTAATGACAGTGGCTTATTGTTTTAATTTTTATTTCTTTGGTTAGAGATGAGGATAAATACATTTTCATATGACTATTGTTTACAGGTTCTTATCTTTTATTCATGCTCTTTCCTAATTTTTATATTGTGACATTAACGCATTTATTGTTACATGTTATGACACATATAAGTAATATTAATTATTTTTCAGATGTATCTGTTGCAAATATACAATTGGTTACCTTAAAACACAGAAGATTTAAAAAATTTATGTTCAATTTAATGTAATAATCTTTTCCATTGTAGTTTCTTGCATTGCTTTAATACACAAGAATTCTCCTTCTGAAAGATCACTTTTTTTAGGGCTAATCTATTAATCTACTTATAATTTATTTTGGAATATGGTAAAGGAAGAATCACCTAGGTTTTTTACCCTAAAAATAGG